CGGTAAAAAGCAAAATAAAAATAATGATGAAACTAGTAATAATAACATAAATAAGAGAGAATATAAGGTATCTACAGTTATATCATATAAGTAGGGGACATCTGAAATCCTCCCTACTTAGGATTCTCAATAAAGCAGGAATTAGGCTGGTGGCATTCAAATCTACAAGTGAAGTGGTAGAGCACGTTGACCGCTTCACTTATTTGGGAAGTACCATCAGCCCCAACGGGTTGATCTCTGACGAAATCTCAGCACGAATACAAGGGGCTCGTTTCGCATTTGCCAGTTTACGCCGACTCTGGCGTAGACGAGATGTTCGACTATCGACCAAAGGGCGGGTGTACTGCTCATCAGTCCGCTCTGTCCTCCTTTATGGCAGTGAGTGAGACCTGGCCACTGAGAGTGGAAGACATGAAAAGACTAGCTGCCTTTGATCATAGGTGCCTGCGTTCTATTTCCCGTGTAAAGTGGCATAATAAGGTGAGCAACATGGAGGTTAGGCGTAGAGTTCTAGGTAAACAGGGGAAATCAATCGACGAAGTCGTGAAGCTACATCGACTGAGATGGTTAGGACATGTGTTACGTATGCCAAGCCATCGCCTCCCTCGACGAGCTATGTTAGTGGATATAGGGTCAGACTGGAAAAAAGCTAGCGGTGGTCAAACAAAAACTTGGCACCAGTCAATGAAATCCACAACAGTTGGTCTAAGCCACGTAGGAAGGTGTAGACTTCCAGGCTGGGGTCCTCGGGACGGTAAAAACAAGTGGTTGGAAACAATTGGTGACATGGCTCAAAATCGTTCTCAGTGGCGCAGATGCATCCACTCCCTGTGACTTATGATCTTCAATGAAACTGTTTTGTATTTCTTTATTACTCCTTTGTCTCACCCCTCTGCTCACTGTTTCTATTATGCTTTTCTTGTACTTTCTTCTCTTGCTTCGCGTGCTACACGGAATGTGGCGACTTGAACTTCCGCACATTTGTGCAAAGTTCTATGTCGAAAACAGACAGACAGACAAACTCACTCAGGTAGGAGAAACTCTGTAGGTTAAATGACCCTGTATGTTAATCCAATTAGACAAAGTAACATACTTTACAAAATACCCTCCAATGACTGCGAGTTAGGTCAACTACATAGGTCATTCAAACTAGTAGGTCAGGGGTAGTGAGATTGCCTGTCAGAACATGAGAATTTAGCTAGGGTTAAAATGATTGATTCCACCTGCGGAGATAAGTAATTTAGAAAAAAATCACTCAGCAATAGCATTGCACCCATTAACACATAATTACACAGTAGTTTTGTGGGACAGAGTCATAATTCTAAAAAGTAATATAGGTAGGTGGAGGTAGAGAGAGATTGATTATTGAATCCTGCATGGTTCATCGAGTCTACACCCAGCACGTGTAACAGGAATGACTCATCACCAATACCAGAGGTATGGAAAATATTACTACCAATCATATCAAGAGATGAGAATTAGTTGAACCATATAAACGAAGTTGGAAAGTTATGTAAGTAGTGTCCTGATATGATTATGAGCAGCAATCAATTGTGCTCAAAACATGGTCATCAGTAAACACTGTGTGATCTTATCAAAATAAAATTTTATCCATAATCGAACTATACTCTACCATATTGCCCAAATTTTATCCTTATATTAGGAATAGAAAATTGGCAACGGTTAAAGAATAGACACCAAACTCAAATGACCTTGAAAAACACCAATCAGGTAGCTGATCATTACAAATGGATGCCGTTCATATAATCTACCTTGCAATTTCCATCCAGATTGTGTTTTTGACCTCTGAATGGAAAATGAATTGATAGGGTGGACTTAAATAAGCGTATGTGGGTAAAGGAGGGGGGTTGATTACTCTTCAGAAGTACTGCTGGGCTACCGATGATGGTTATGCATTCAAATGCAATCACAGTTATATCAGGAAATCTGTAGGAGCTGGTAAGTTGTACATTATGGTGATTTTGTAGATATTTTCTTCTCGAAATCAAAACTCTGCCTTACAAAAATAATGTGTATATGTGCGTCCGTGTGTATATTTCTTAGCTGCCTACTGAAATGACCGGTAGTTCCATATTAGTTTGTTTATTAGATATATCATACAGTGATGAAACAGTGTTATTTAATGGATGACACTGTTTCGAACACAATTCATTATTGTTCAAAATCATCCCATCAATTATAATCACACGACTTCGAAACTTGAGTTTTATAGTTTTTTTTGTCTTCTCCTATTTGTCGTCGTAGGGGTAGCAGAATTTTCCAGATATCTGGGTGGATAGGTGTTGAATCATTCCTACCACACATATTTGCAGTTGATTTGATAAACAAAGCTTCCTCTGTCATCAATCTCTCCCTCTACCCTGTTAGTGCATTAGATTTTAGAACTGTCATCCTATCCCATCAGCCTATTGTATGGTTGTGTGTAACTGCATGCAGTGCTATAGCTGAATTATTCTCTAGATTTCTTATCTTAATCGGGTCAACCAATCTAGATTTTGCTAGGTTTTTATGCTCGGCTAGTCTGACTCACTGACCCTGTTCTACTACTTTGACGTATGCATTTGACCTGACACTCATTGCAGGCAGGGTGTTAGATAAACTAAATTGTTTTGTTTTAATGGCTCTACAGGATCCTTTAACCGACAAAGCGTGTTTCTAATTGAGATTGTGGGTTCAGATGCCACTTTTATTTCTGTCTTGTTAAGAATTCTGCATAAGGTGGTTTCCGAGGTTCCTTCCTTGTATGGAATTACTACTGATGATTTACATTCCTTATTTTTGGTGTCGTTATTAATATTATTATTGTCACTATTATTATTATTATTATTATCATTATTACTGTTGTCATTATTGAAATGACCAGTATCTGCTACAAATGCGGAAACAGAAGACACTAAAATGTCAACAGTACAGTGTGGTATCAGCACTGTCCGGATGTGGCCCCACAAAAGATCGGTGCAATCGCTTGTGTACTTGAAGGAATTAGTGTCGTCCTCCTCATACTGACAAAACAGTACTTATTAAATGAAAAATGAATCCCATAAGGAGAAGAACAAACCATGTTTGGGTGCCGGGACTGTACGATATGAATCTTCGAAGAGAGGTTGGTAGAACGTATTCCAAAAAGAAGTGCCGATGTTTTAATACATACCAATAATACAACAACCAGTCCTCCCAGGCACTACCATTCACACAGATTAGTGGAAAGGTTATTCGCACCTCTCGTCATTAAGTTATATATTCATCATAAAGTTAATCAATCTTCTGAATTGGTGAATCCTATACGTGGAACTCATACACATTCTATTGGAGGATTCTGGGTCCATCTAATAAAAACGTATTAGAATGGTAAATGCTTCCCGATATGATATGCTATACAGTCACATAGATGCATTTTTCTATCAACAGTGGTTTTATGTGTCTATGGACACTCTTATAAGATAATGGGACCAACTTTTGCGGCATATTATAGATACGTACCCTGTATAATTCAGGTGTGGTAAACTTATTCATATTATATTAATTAACCCATTGGGTTCCGAGTGGGACATTAGGCTTCAACAACCACGTCTCCAATTTCTGCTTTTCTCTGGTATCTTCTTCAACTGGCTATCACCACGATTGACCATAGCCTATCATTTCCTTCAACTCACATGATCTCTTCTATGTCCCACTAGGCACCGACCACCCACTCGTCACTTCTCATTGGAATTCTACTCGAGCGACGGCCTGCACTGAACTCAATGTCATTAGACGATCTCCTCAACGTGTGTCCAATCAATCCACTTCCGTTTTCTCCTACGTATTTGTTGAGTAATCAGCTTTTGCCTGTGTTGGTTCGTCCACAGAGTTTCTTTTTGCTTTGACCAGCTGGCTATTTGATCTTTATTATGAAGCCAACCAGTGAAGTGGGCAGCTGCTGATAAAAGTCCACAGTAGCCTGTGTGGAAATCCTTTTCGTGACATGATACCCAAGTTTCTGACCCGTATTAAAGGACTGACTTGACATTGATGTTGAAAATCTGAATCTTATTCTTGATGCCGGCTGAGTTAGTGTACAAGACTGCAGAATTGGTTTCAGGTTAGTTAATGAAGGTGTGTATCTTGCCTCTCTGATTCTAGCTGGTTGGCTGGCTTTGCCGTCTTCATCCGTACCATGTGCCTGTGGTTGAAACCGTGCTTCCCAGTCAGATATGTGAAGGAGGAAGTAACCTCTGTCTAATCTCTCCAGCTGATGGTGACTGGTGTTGCTTGTTGTTGCTGTTCGTTGATTGATTAGTTGATTAACTTCAGTACCTCCGTCTTTTCAATGTCCACCTGAAGTTTTGTCTTTGCTGCCAGCCTCTTCAGCTGGTTTGTTAGTTTTCACTTGTAATTATTTGAGTTTGTGTGACATTAAACCAAATATCATCAACACGTGAAATCCAGATCTTCTAGATGGAGTCTTCTCATCGGTCTAGCGTAGTCCTGTCATCTCACTCCCCATGCACAGTGTGCCATATTAATCCAGTTCATCACAACTACGAGTATCATCGTTGGTGAAAATTCACTGAATTCCCCGCGCAATTCGTGTACTGCGTTGATATTTCAACTTTGGTTTCATCTGACTGATCGACCAAGATCGTTACGACAATGCTTCATTTTGGTGGCTATAATCTCCTGGATCCTATTTCTCTTACCACTTTGTCAGTTTGTCATATAATCTATTTTGAAATGAATTCAAATCCATTGAAGAACCCTGGAGTCTTACGGTGAATAGTCTTAAACTCCGATGGAAGTGCTTTCCAGTTCTTTCTGGTTATCATGTCATCAAAGTATATTCCTCAAAACTTAACATCACAATATAATTAATTACATTACAACACTGATTGGTTCTTAGGCAAACCACCTACACAATCTTAAATAAATCACTAATCAATAGGAATACACAATTCAAACATATTGCAGGCTCAACTGCCAATCAGATCACTAAGTGAAATTAACCAGTATGTAATATACTACTGCTACAACAACTAATAATACTAGTAGTAATGAGAATAAGGCAAAAACATGGCAAAAACCGTGTTAAAATGTACGTGTTAATAATGAGCGTGTGTTATCATGGAGTCGAGGTGTTATTAGATAGACAGATAGCTAGAGACAGACAAACAGGCACATCAATCGATTAAAAAGGTAATGTGATGAATATTAATTATCCAATAATCCTCTAGTGTTCTTTCTTAAAAATACCAAGACATGTACTACTTATAAACATATACTGATGAATCAGAAACATCATTATTTCAAGGAGGCATTCTCGTGAGAAGTGATCTTGTTAACTAAATCATGAATAACTGTAAGTACAATCTCTTTTCAACACATCTAGATGTTTATAAATATCCTTGTAAAAGTACTTAAATGAGTAAGGACTCAAGATGTGAGATAAAGATTTAGGTCTCTCAACAGGATTTCAAATGATGGACAGTAAGGTGTTATTCATTCTCTTCAGCAGTGAAAACCTACAACCCCACCATAGACCTATTGTAGGACTTTCAGCTTACGGGATCAAACCATTGATTATTCAGTGAATGACCTGGGAAATAATAACTTTTGTAAGCTTCTTTTATTAGAACAAGACATATAACCGAACCATATTTGTAAGCGCAACATATCGCTTGAAATTAAGTCACGCGTAGATAAAGGCTATCCCGGTCCAGAACAAACAAGAAGCCGGTCACTGTTTCTACGGTACTATTAATAAACAAATCAATAATTATATATATACAACAAACCTTAACGGTTTCAAGAGTACAAAGCACAACGCTTAACAGAAAGCAAGGTACCGCTATCAGAGCGGAATACCGTTAAAGCCAAAATTGCGAACTAGCCAGAACCAGACACGACCGTTCAGGTAAGCAGTCAGTAGAAGAATGAACCCAAGTAAGGCATGGCATAAAACAGAGAGCGTTTAAGAGAGATAGACCGAGCATAGGCACAAAGATAGAATTTTTTTTATTTTTTATTTACAGCTTGATTCCACACTGTATTTTTGGTACAAGTGTGGAATCTTCAGCGTGGATATCGGTAGCCCAAATTTTGCAGGCCGCCCATAGATATCAGGTGTGCGCCGGCGTGGGCTCGAACCCCGGACCATGTGCATGGTCGGCGAGAGTCCTAACCACTGGCTACTTAACCAGGTAGGAAAATACAGATGAAAATCAATAAATAAGATAAACTCGACAGAATAGTACAAAGTTAGACATGGGTCAGCAGAAAATAACAGTTCACAAAATACTCTGATTCGGCCATGAGTTCAACTGTCTGACTAAACGGATCAAGGGAAAAACACATACACACAGTTCATTAAACAAGGTTGGATAGACACGTTAGGCATGGATAATTGGGTTGCAACAACGCTAGGCTGATCCGGGACAGGTTGACTTGATTCAAGGATGGGAATAGAATTGATCTTACAATATTGTTGTTTTCAATTAGATCTCCTTCGGGCTTTACTCTAATTTACATAGATTTATATATATGGATCTAATAATAATAATAATAATAATAATAATGTGGTAAGTATTTGAACGTAGTTAATAACGATGATTATAATGATAACAAAATATTGATAATAAGGTTTATGCAAGTGGCGATAAGAATAACAAAGGTAGTAATATGTGTATGTATATGTAGACAATTCAATAAATAAATTAGGTCAAATCTTAAAAGTTGCGTAATACTAAAGGTGAAGAGGACAGATAATCAGAGTTTAAATAAATATCATAAAAATACTAAGGAGATGGAAGATAAGAAAGGGTGGGAGGGTTTTGAATAGAATTCACCTAGGCGAAGTAAGGGAGAGACAAAGGTAGAACAAACTTCTTCCGTTGTATGCAAAGACTAGGACTGTTCTCCCGAATTAATTCCCATAGCTTCTTCGACTATGTGTAAAAGGCGGATTCGAATTCTATAAGAAGTCCAGTTTTGGTTCATTTGATTGATAATAGCGGTCACCAAATGTGCACAAATAGTGCCTTCAAAGTTATCCGTCGCATTCCACCTAGCCTTTCGAAGGGAATTTGAACCTGTCTTTTACACACAGCCGAAGAAGCTATGGAAATTAATTCGGGAGAACAATCCTAGTCTTATCACACAACAAAAGTTTGTTCTATCCTTGTCTCTCCCTTGCTTGACTAGGTGAATTCTAATCAACCCTCACACCCTTTCTTATTTTTCATTTCCTTCGTGTGTTTTTTTCCTTCACGTTCCCCAGTGGAACATAGGGCACCTTCAAGCTAGTGGCTTGAAGTTTCTGTAGCATTGTTTATTTTACAGGATAGGGTTGCTAGCCTCATGCCCAACCTTTCCTCTTTACCAAGATTATTTCTGGCTTAGCGAGGTAAAGGAGTGCGTCTGGGGCCGGGAATCGAACCCCGGACCATGTGCATAGTCGGCGAGCGTCCTAACCGCTATGCCACCGACGCACTAGTGTAGTATCCTTCGTGTTTTAATAATATTTATTTAAACTCTGATTATCTCTCCACTTCAACTTTAGTATTACGTAACTTTTAAGATTTGATCTAATTTATTTATTTAGTGAATTGTCTACATATACACACACATATTACTACCTTTGTTATTCTTATCGCCACCTGCATAAACCTTATTATCAATATTTTGTTATCATTATAATCATCGTTATTACATTTACCACATTATTATAATTATTTGATCCCCAAAATCACCGTCATTGGTAAAAAATTTTATATATAAATCTATGTAAATTAGAGTAAAGCCTGAAGAAGATTTAATTGAAAACAACAATATGGTTCGCTTATATGTCTAGTTCCTTTAATATCATGACAGGAAACTAATGCTGTAGGTAAGGCTTCACTTCACAGATGATTCGATGGAGCTTATCGATCACACTTCCTCATTCATTCGTATGATAGACAGCTCAGCAGCACAAGTATTGATAATGTAGTGATCCAACTGATAGGCTATTGGATCTCCCGGTACATTAGCAAGGTAAATAGCTGGACTAGTAGTCCTCAGGGATTCTGGTTCGAACCCATATTTTCTATTTCACATCTTCAATCATTACCATTGACATAATGCCAACCTGTTACATGATGAAATGACTTCGATGTTGTGTAGTAATAAAAAATTATGGACAAGAGAATCCATAGGATGAACTAAGCGACTCATTTATTGAAGGTCATAAAAACTGATATCATCTGGTGACGAATTGGCGAATTGGCAGAAGTTGGAATTCATGAACTGGCCGCTGGATCGGTTTCCAGTGGCTGAATGACTTACAAACTCACCTTGTAACCGGAGGATACTAGGTTCGCCCCCCCCTCCCACATACACACACACACACTGGATGCGTGCCACTAAAGAGTTCCAAAACAGAGTGAAACAGTTGTATAGTACTCTCAGTCGGTTTTCCAATGCCTCTCTAACTGATATCAACTCTTAGCCACACACACACACACACACACACATACTAATTCTATCAACTAACAACTTTACTTTTCAAAAATTTTGTTTTTATTCTTATCCTTTTGTGTTTCTCCCCACAGTGATTTTTACCACTCACACAATTTATTGCCGAAATTACAAGTTGTTATCAGTTCTAATATGGATCACATTTGGTGCTATTGTCGGTTGGTATATTGGCAGTAGTTATGAAGATTCATATATGGCGAAAATTGATCCAAGATATCATAATTTCATATTTATCGGTGGACATGAAAGTACCGGTTAGTGTTATTATTTTTCATTTATTATTATTATTATTACTATTGTTAATTTATTGATTTTTGATAGCTTGTCAGGAAAATATATCCATGGATATTGCTACTCTTTCCTTGAGTATATCTACATTGAATTCTGTTCTGCGCCACCTTTTCGCCTGACCGTATGACTGCTCATAAAATTTCATTTCGTCTTCATTTTATCTCCTTAATGTTATTAGCTGACACACGTCCAACTAGTCGCTTCACATTCAAGTTTCATTCAGTGACCTGCCAGGTATGTAACGTCACTCCAACCCCTCTCTATTTCCTTCTGAAGTAGGATGTAGGCTGGTCCTCTGCCAGCTAGAGTGCATTATTGATTATCCTTTATGGCTGACTCTCCCACTTTGAGTATCCAACCAGCCAGCCAGCCAGCGAAGGGGGTTGTCGAAAAAATACTGCGACGGAATGATAGAAATGAGCTCTTGGTGACACATATTTAAAGTATCTGAGCCACATTATAGAAAGACTAGTTGATTTGACATTAGTCTACAGCACAAGTCAGGCCTTCTTACTTGTTCTGTAGTTTCTCACACTTATTTCGGGGGTAACAAACCCTTGTATTCAAGTATTGATTTCTGGGATTTGATCGATTGGTTACAGGATTGCATCATGAGTTGACACTGGTCAGGTTAGTTAGTTAGTTCGCGCCTAAAACTATTTTCATCATATAAAATACGTGCCAAATATGGTAGTGTGGAATTTTTATACTTAGACGTACGTGCATAAAGTCTTTTGATGAAATGATTTCTTGTTCTACCTGAGGAGATGTAAGGTGAAATCTGCAGGAAAGTAAAGTAGATGCTTACAGTCTAACAAAATCCCTTCAGCAAATTTGTTGCATGAAATCAAGTGCTAATCAATTATGATGTCAACGATACGGCCCCATGGGATACTACTTGCCCTACTGACAGTCATCAGAGTTCAACGAAGCATGAGTCTATTTTTAAGCAACCTAGGAAAGAATTATTTATTTTATTTATTTATTTCCTTCGCGTTCCCAGTGGAACATAGGGCCTCGAGCTAATGGCTTGAAGTTTCTGTAGCAGTGTTTAACTTTTACAGGATGGGTTTGCTAGCCTCATGCCCAACCTTTCCTCTTTACCAGCATTATTTCTGGCTTAGCGAGGTAAAGGAGTGCGTCGGCCGGGCTTCGAACCCTGGACCATGTGCATGGTCGGCGAGCGCCCTAACCTCTGTGCCACCGACGCACAGGAAAGAATAAGGATGCGGAATAAAGAAGAATAGGTAACATGCAAGAGGAGGATGGGTTGACTTATGCCTGAGTTTCTTAACTTCTTCTTAATGTAAAATGTCAGGCGAAATACTCTTTTAGATATCGCTAAGACTTGGAAAGACCAGGATAGGTCAGAAGAAAGAATTAATCCGAGATACTTAACTTCAGACATGATTTCTATATCCTCGCTGTCATCAGTTTTGCAACGGTTATAGGAACCAAGGGCTTCATTTAACTTTCGTTTACATTGGAAACTGAAACGAATAGTCTGACATTAAGAAGGATTTAGTTTAAGGCAATTAGACGAAGACCATTTTCTAACTCCTGATTGAAAGCTGTTCATCTTAGTACAGTCTAGCTGGAAGTTAACAGACAGTGAGATAGTTAGATCACCGGCATACTTAACAAAGTTCATTTCATCATCAGAGTGAGATAAATCATACAAGAAGAAAGAAAACAGAAACGGAGAAAGGACACCACCTTAAGGGACACTAGCCTCAGTAAGCAACGAAGTGGACGACTTTCCATGACATACAGTGTACTGATTTCTTCCTGAGAAATAAGAATGCAGCTATTTGACAACCCACCAGTCAGTTTGAGTTTTTCAGGAAGCTTGTTTAACAAAATGTCCCTAGGTACTGAGTCGAAAGCAGATGTGTAGTCTAGGAAGGTGCAGCGAAAAAATTTAGCCCGCTTGTCTAAGCTAGAGACAACGTTATGATACAAGACTGCATGCAGCTTCACCTAAAGTATTTCTACTACATTTCCAGGCAAATTTTTTAGTATCGTTAAGGGCTTTAAATTAAGGTTCAAGATTAAATAAAAACAACTTTTCCATGGTTTTTAAAAAAAGAAGAGGTTATAGCAATAGGTCTAAGCTTGACTGATACATGCTCCAGTAGATTTTTAATGTCTTTCCAAACGTCTGGCACAATATTTCTGGGAAAAGATTAATTAAATATGTCAGGGATAGGATAACATTGGAAATCTATGCATTTTTTAGAGAATAATGCTAGGTTCATCATCTGGACCTAGGCTTTGAGAAGGGTTCAGAGACTAGCGGTATTTTTAAAACTTCATTCGTCAAGTATTGTTTTTGTAGGGATTTTGTTTAGATCGGTTAGAGGATTTCATCATGAGCTGACATCATTTAGAGAACCAATGGATAACCTCGGGGCACTCTTCAGCACTACGCTACACCATGAATTGGCAGAAGTTATAATTCATAGCCTGGCTATTGGATCAGGTCCCAGTGGTTTATTGGTCTATGACCTCACCTTGTAACCAGAAGGTCCTGTGTCCGAGCCTTAGTGTGTACGTACTGCCGTTGATTCCCAAACTAGGATGAATCAGCTGACTGTCCAGCACTCCCTCGTTAGTTATCAGTGGTCCTCTAACTGATATCAATCCGTGGGCGAACTCGTATAAACAAATCTAATCATTACAAACCAGCTCCTGAAAATTAATCTGACGCTCGCTATTGACTGGCTACAGGATGAAGCTTCCTGGAGTTCTAGTGAGAAGTCGTGACCAGTGGGGTCCATCCAGTTCCCACCGATGACACTGTTTGGTGGTAGCGCTAAATCGTGAATTGGGGGAAGTTAGAATTCATGCACTGGCCACTGAATCGGGTCACAGTGGCTTAATGGTCTATGAGCTAGCCTACCTTGCAGCCAGAAGGTCCTGGTTTCCAAACCTGGCGGTCCTAAGCACTAGGCTGACGAAACAGCTGTCCAGTACTTCCAGTGTTGGCTTTCCAATATTTCTCTAACTGATTTCAGCTCATGATGAAATCCTCCAACTTCATTTACGTTGAAACCAGGCTAGCAGCTTTCATTAAAACTTTTGACACTAGAAAGCTTGGCATTTGTGGGAGAATACATCAAGGACTTATTTAGGGGGCAAACATCAATCAAATGAACAAGGAATACAGTCTGTGTGCCCATAACTAGCAATTTCTTTAAAAATGAATAATATAGAAATAAATATTAGTGAAAACACCTCGTGGTAATCCTTTTATCCTTTGTCTGTATCATCAGTTTTACTCCTGAACAAAGTTTCTCGTCAGTCCACTTATCACATTTAACAATACAGTGCTTGACTCACATGATTAATTTATTTTGTGAAGTTGGTTAATTAAATAATAGAAATTAAGATAAAACTGGTGTGAAAGCTTTATTGACTATAGTCAAGTGATTACATTGCGTGCATAGTTATGTTAGATTTCTGTCACAAGCAAACACATCAGTAAGACAGAGAGAAATAGAGAGAAGGATAATTGAAAACCACTAAAAAGCACTCAGCAGCTACCTATTTCATCCTATTTCCCAGGGGATTCCTCAGCACCAAGCATCCATAAGCACATCAAAGATCGAACTCGGGATCTTCGTTAACTGTTCAGCCATCTGTGCCAGTGGAATTCAGTAATCTCTAAAATTCTAACTTCTGCTCTCAACCACAATACCAACGATGAGCGTCCATTTCACCTTGCTGACACAGTGAAATACACTGATCACGACTTCTCATCGAGCACTTTCACAGTGAGCTGGTAACTGATACTCAGGTCATACGATTTATGTGCTAATACTTTGACGTCGTATTTTCGGCATTCACGACTCCACTGGGGATCAATAATCTCTTCAACTGATGAGTTAGTTCTCTAACTGATGACGAAATTATAACAGCTGGAATAAATCCAAAAATTTCCACAAATTGCATAACCTGAATATCAGTCGCCGGTTCACTGATGGTTAATGGATGGATTTTCTGGAACTAATCAGTGAGCAGTCATGATCACTGGATTCCACTGTGTCAACAAGGTGAGGTGAACGATCGTCGGAGACATCGTGGTTGACGGCAGCGTTATATATGACAAAATGACAGAAGTTATAATTCAAATTTCACTGACACAAGTGGTTTAACAGTCAACGAGCTTGATCTCATCAGCCTGAAGATCCTGAGTTAGATCCCAAGGTGTGGTTATGGATGTTCAGTATTGAAGAGTCGCAGAAAGTAGGACGAAACACCTAGTTGTCCAGTTCTTCTTGGCGGTTTCCAATGATCTTTTAACTGATGTGCTGGCTTGTGATGAAAAACTAACAACTGAAATTGATCGAAGATTGCCACAAATTCTATAATCTAGATCTTAAAATATATATCAGCGTTTCTACGTCCCGATGGGAAATATGGCTTCAATCTATAAAGTTTCAATGTTGTAAGTGTAGAATTTGGTACTACGTTGGGATGAAATCCCATACTACTCCTATTATTTTTATTATTGTTCTCTTGGATTCATAGTGGAACATACGGCTTTACCTGCACGTCTCCACTTCCCACTTCTGTCTTCCTTCTGCCGTACTTTTCACCTGCATCCATCCAAGTTAGTCCATACTCTTTCAACTACTCCTCTTCACACCATCTCCTCCATGTCACTCACCCTTGCACTGACATTCCACTCGCCGCGTGCTTCCCTTTCGGCCTGGTTCCACTCGACCAATGGCCTGACTTGCGCGATGTCACCCAGCGCGATGCCTCCTCAGCGAGTATCCATCTCCATCTCAATCCACTTTCTCCAACTGCATATTTGTTGGTTGGAGATTGGTTGCTTCTTGTTTTGTTTGTTTGTTTGTTCCCATAGTTTCCCATAGTTGGTGATTCTTTTCAGCCCGGCCCGTCCGAGCCATCTGATCTTCAGTATAGAGTCAGCGAAGACAGTTGTTGTTGATAA